CTGCGTGTGGAAATTCAGCAGCACCCCGAGGAAGGTTCCTTCACTCCCCTCCTCCTCCTCCTCCTCCTCCTCCTCCTCCTCCTCCTCCTCCTCCCTTCCTCCCTCCCTCCCTCCCTCCCTCTCCCTCCCGTGGAGGGAGGAGTTCCCGCCCGCCTCCGATCCTCTTCAAAATGCTGGAGGGTTCCATCTCAGGTGTGTGTGTGTGTGTGTGTGTGCGTGTGTGCGTGTGCGTGTGCGTTTGTGCGTGTGCGTGTGTGCGTCTGCGTGAGCGTCTGCGTGTGCGTGTGTGCGTGTGCGTGTGCGTGTGCGTGTGCGTGTGCGTGTACGTGTGCGTGTGCGCGTGCGCGTGCGTGTGTGCGTGTGCGTGTGCGTGTGCGTGTGCGTGTGCGTGTGCGTGTGCGTGTGCGTGTGCGTGTGCGTGTGCGTGTGCGTGTGCGTGTGCGTGTGCGTGTGCGTGTGCGTGTGCGTGTGCGTGTGCGTGTGCGTGTGCGTGTGCGTGTGCGTGTGCGTGTGCGTGTGCGTGTGCGTGTGCGTGTGCGTGTGCGTGTGCGTGTGCGTGTGCGTGTGCGTGTGCGTGTGCGTGTGCGTGTGCGTGTGCGTGTGCGTGTGCGTGTGCGTGTGCGTGTGCGTGTGCGTGTGCGTGTGCGTGTGCGTGTGCGTGTGCGTGTGCGTGTGCGTGTGCGTGTGCGTGTGCGTGTGCGTGTGCGTGTGCGTGTGCGTGTGCGTGTGCGTGTGCGTGTGCGTGTGCGTGTGCGTGTGCGTGTGCGTGTGCGTGTGCGTGTGCGTGTGCGTGTGCGTGTGCGTGTGCGTGTGCGTGTGCGTGTGTGTGTGTGTGTGTGTGCGTGTGTGTGTGTGCATGTGTGTGTGTGCGTGTGTTTGTGTTTGTGTTTGTGCTCGTGTTCGTGTTTGCGTTTGTGCTTGTGTTTGTGTTCGTGTTTGCGTTTGTGCTTGTGTGTTTGTGTGTGTGGGGGGCGTTAGGACGAGGGCCACACGTCGAGAGCCGCGCGCCACCTGGGTTCCCTCCAGGGCCTCCGCAGCGCCCTCTTCCGCGATCCACCCCCACCGGAGAACAGACTGCCCAGGACTGAGCTCCTTAAAATGTTGGAAACTGGTTTCCACAAGCGCGTTCCACTACTCGCACAGTAGCTACTCGCAAATGGGCAATACCCGCCGCGGGGGATTCACGCTCCATTATACAAAAGTAAGAAGACGTGCTTTCTTTTCGGACGTTTGCGAGTAGGCACGTTGCGAGTAGTGGAACGCGCTCGGTGATGGTTGTTGACTTCAAAAAAGAATGGTCCTGGAATTCAAAAAATGGTTCTTGCATTCAAGAAGCGTTTTTTTAATCTAAGATGGTAGGTGCATTTGCGCGGCGTTGCGGCGAGAGCCGCATTTCGAAACCCGCCCGCCACCGGGGCTCCCTCCTTGGCCTCCGCGCCCTCCGCCGCGATCGGCCCCTACTGGAGGAGAGAGACCACAGTTGGACCTGGGCCAGAAGAAAATCCGCCGACCCCTTGGGGTCACGGCGAGTGAAATGCTTCCCCCTCCCCATACCCCTCCCCCCGGAGCCCGGGCCGGCCGGTTTGGAGGGGGGCGGGTGGGGGGTGGGGGGAGGGCCAAGGTGCGGCCGCACCTTTGGAGCCTCAGGGGGCCCCAAAACGGGCCATGAGGGCCCCAAAAGGCCCCCCGGACGGTCCAAGGGGGCTACGAGTCGCCGAAAGATCGCTCCAAGACGCCCAAGATTGCCTCAAGACGGTCCCAGAGGCCCCCAAGACGCCCCAAGAAGCCACCCAAGAGGCCCTCCAGAAGCGAAAATCGTCCCAGTCTCTAGGGAAAACGTATATTCTAAACACATTCGCCTCTTGGGCTTTCACGAGGCCCACAACGGCCCAAGAAGCCTTCAAGATCGACCCAAGATAACCCAAGAGGCCCCCAGGAGGGCTCCAAGACGGCCCAAGAGAGCCCCATGATGGCCCCAGAAGCCTCCAAAACGGCCCAGGAGGGTCCCAGGACGGCCCCAAGAGGAGGCCGAGAGGGGGAACCCGAATGGACATTTCGAGCACTCGGCCCCCAAAAAACCTGAAGAGGCGCCGAGAGGCCCCCAAGAGGCCCGCACGAGGCCGCCGAGAGGCCCGAAAGAGGCCCCTAGAGGCCTCAACACGGCCCCCCAGAAGCCTCAAAAATGCTGCCACGAGAGCCCAGAGAAGCCCAAGAGAATACCCGCGATCGGCCAACCGCCCCCCACGACATCCCAAGAAGCTGAAACCCCAAGATTCCCTGGAAATCGCGCGCGTTCCGTAAACCCCGTTTTTCATCCTTACTGCCGCCCCAAAGGGTCGGCGGTGCGGCGTCAGCCAATGAATCCACGTCCGGAGGTGACGTGCTGAGCGGCAGCGTTTTCCGGCGAAACCTACCAAAACTGATAGAAAATCTATGATTTCGTCTTCTTGGGCCTCTTGGGGGGCCGAGAGGGCGCCAAGACGGTTCAAGATGGGCTCTGTGCGGGCCAAAACGGCCCCGAGACGGTCCGAGATAGTTCCAAGAGGGCCCAAAAAGCCCAAATGACGGCCCAAGAGGGCCCCAAAAGCGCCCACAACTGCGCCTCCAGAGGCCGAAATCCGCCGACCCCTTGTGGGTCTCCAGGCGTGTGAGATAGTTCCCCCCCCTAACCCCCCCTGGGACCCCAAACCGGAGATTCGACCCCCCCCCCCGGGCCCACGACGAGCGCGTCACGGGGCTCTTTTGGGCCCAAAAGGGGATCAAGACGGGCCAAGAAGGCCCCAAGACTCCTCCAAGACGGCTCACGAGAGCTCCGAGGCGCCAAACGAGCGCTCCCAGACGCCCAAGATGGCCCCAAGACGAGCCTAGAGGCCTCCAAGACGGCCCAAGAGGCCTCCAAGAGCAGTCCTCAGAAGGGCCGAAGCGCCGAAAATCGTCAAATTCCTATGGGAAAACGTACATTTAGATCATATACTACTTGTCGGCCTTCACGGCGTTGAAGACGGTCCCAGAGCACCCCAAGACCGCCCCAAGAGGCCCCCAAGAGGCGCCCAAGTCGGCCCAAGAGGGCGCCAAGACGGCCCAAGAGGCCCCCAAGACAGCCCAAGAGGGCCCCAAGACGGCCCCAAGAGGTGCCCAAGAGGGGGAGCCCGAACCAACAATCCGAGCCTTCCGCCCCAAGACGGCCCCAGAAGGCCCCAAGAGGCCCCAAAATGCCCCCAGGACGCCCACAAGAGGCCCCAAGAGGCCCCCAAGAGGCTCCAAAACGGCCTCAAAACGGCCCCCAAAATGCTTCAAAACTGCCTCCGAGAGTCCCGCGAAAAGCCCCCCAAGAGATCCCAACGATCACCGCACAAGTCTCAGATCAACAACCCAGGCACGGTGGCGGGGTTGCGTTTGCGCACAAAAAAGGATTCGCGCTCTCGAGGCCAAGATTGCTCAAAGACGGCCCAAGATGGCTCCAAAACGGCCCAAGATGGTTCCAAAACGGCCGAAGACAGATCGAAGACGGCCCAAGATGGGCTCAAGATGGCCTACAAAACTCTCACTATCGCCCACGAAGTCTCCAAGAAGACCCCCAGGACATCTGAAAGATGCGCACATTACGTATTTCATTACATTTCCATTGCGTTGTTGAACGCGCGCTGCACGAACCCAGGCAGATGCCTAGGCAGGTCCCGAGGGACCATCACCCCCGGAGGGGTGAAGATAGTGGTAGTTGTTGTCCCGGACGGGTATGTACTGGAAGTACTGCCTGCCTGGGTCATCCTCGAGGACATGGCTCAAGCTTGGGTATGAACTGCTCGCTGGTCGAGGTATGTTTGGTGGGGCTCGCGGAGGAGGAGCTGCTGAGTCGGACTGTGAGTTGGGAGCGCCCCAACGCTCTCTCAACACATGTCGCCTGATCTTGGCAAGGCATATCAGATTGTGTTGCCATTGTTCCTTGTAGTTTTGGGGCAGCCGAGAGGGCCACCCTGTCCTTCTTTCAAACGCAGAAGACGGCGTCACCATACCGACGCGGAAGCACGAGAGCGCGGGGCAGTGCCACGCCTCATGGTTCCAGCAACTGACTTCGCCTCCACACCTGTGACAACGAGGAGCAACAGCCCCGTTGAGGATCTTGTCATACTTGGCAGTGCTCCAAACAGCACCCGCGAGAACAGCGATCGCATGGCTCCCAAGATCGCTCTTGATTAGATCGTGAAGCAGCGCCAGGGCCTGCGGGACGAAGCTGACCCGCGCGGACGCGGCCAGCAGCGAGTCCTTGCGCCGCATGCCCTTGAATGCGTCCCACCACGAACGCCGCAGTGCAAGCCGCACCAGATGCTGCGCCACCTTGGTGGAGAATGTTGGACAAATACTGATTGGATCGTTTCCCAGCCAGCCGTGCCAGCCCTTTTGATTGTTGTGCTCGCAGAAGCTGAGAGACAACTGGTTCATCAAATCGTTGAGCATGGCGGTGTGGCCACGGTGGCGCGTGAGACGACGCGCTGCAGTCGGGACAGGCGCCTCCGCGACCTTGGCAAGGTAGTCGATTGCAACTGCTCCCTGCCGTTTGTACCGGGCCCGCCAGATCACCCACAGACGCGAAATAATTCTGTAGAGGACGCAGCAAGAGTGCCCTGTGACCAGCAAATGTCTGAGATGAACACAGCCCGAGCGCCACCTGCCACCGAGGACGGCGTGGTCGATGTAGGACTGCCACTTCTGGATCTTGATCTTGCCCGGAGGCGACCGCACAGCTACCCAGAGCAGCCGGGCGTAAGCACAGGGCATCAATCTTCTCTTCTGCCACCACGGGAATGGTAGTGAACGAATGCGCCGGGATCGCTGCTGAAGGATCCGGACCGCAGGGGCCTCGTCCTCAGTGCTGGGCTTGCCGTGGAGGGTCATCTTGACCCCGAGCACCTTCATCTCCTCGGAGGGGAGCTTGCGGGCACCTGGGAACAAGTCGATGGTCTGTCTTTTTGGGGTTTGTGCACATAGCAGTCAAAGACTCAAAAACTTGCCACACCTGCTGAACAACCTGCATGGTACGAACATCTCTGGTGATGGTGGTCCGGTCGTCTGCGTAGAGCGCGCTCGTGGCCGACGGCGCATGCCTCTGCGCACGATGATGCGGCAGTGCTAACAACACAGCCATGGCGAGCATGCTCAAAGGGTCCCCCTGGGCAAGGCTCCTTGATACATGGACGAATTGTGGGTCGACGTACGTGCCAACCTCTATGTATTTGTACTGGTCTGTCCAAAAAGCTCGGATAGCACGTAAAACGTGAAGAGGCACCCCAAGGTGCTCGAATATGTCAGTCGTGAGCATGGTGTCGACGCGATCAAACGCAGACTCGAAGTCCCACGAGGCCACGTGGAGCTCAGCATGACCTGGAACAGTGAGGTGCTCTGCGTCCGTGCCGCATTGCTGCCATAGCCAATTGCTACGGGCCTCGTCAATACTCGAGAGAAGAGGCTCGATGATATGTTCAATCGTGACTCCTGGGATGCCGCCGGCCTGCCCGGCCGGCCACATGGGTTTCAAGAACTCCGCAATCTGCCCGGCGCGGAATCTGGCCCACGCCCTCCACCAAACGCAGGCGATGCTGATGGGGCGGAGCCTGGCGACCTCTGGGGCGCCGCGTCCGCTGTCCTTCGGGATATGGATTTGGCGCCACTTCAACCAGTCGGTCGGCGGTCGGGCGCCCTCTTCGATCTTAGCAAAACAATTGATGAGAGATTCGAGGGCCGAGTCCGGCAGCAAAAGGGCCTCATCGGCAGACCGGCCGTCAACGCCGCAAGCCTTGCCCCTCATGGGTTTGAGGGCGCGCCTGAGCTCATTGACCCCAGGTAGTGGGAAACGATCCAGAACCCCAGTCGGCTCCCTCCATACGCTCTCCGCCTGGTCCCTGGCGGCGATCCTGCTCTTGAAAGTGTCGAGCCCCTCCCAGAACTCGTACATGAAGTCGTTGATCTTGTTGCCATTCCCACAGGCCTGATAATGCTGCTGGTAGTGTTCACGGACGGCATGTGCAGCCCCAGCGCCAGTGAAAAGCTCATCCTTGATTCTGACCGCTGCGTCCGTTGGCCGCCACTGTGCTCCTCGGATCCACTTGTTGAACATGTTTGCAATTGCTGCCTTTCCCGGCTTCCGTCGGCCCACGTAGCCCAAAGAGCCTCCAAGATCGCCCCACGGCGCCCCAAGAGGGCCCCAAGACGGCCCCAGAGAATCCCAACACGGCCCAGGACGCCTCCCAATTCGGCCTACGACGACCCCAAGACGGCAAAACCTGTCTCCAAATTGGTCCCAAGCTGGTGCAAGACGCCTCTAACCCAAAACCCATAACCCAGAGCCTTGTTTCTGCGTCCCCTTCCTCCTTCTCCTTCTCCTCCTCCTCCTCTTCCTCCCCCTCCACCTCGGCCGCCAGGCGGGTTCAAAACTGTTTCCCAAAGGTCCCCGAGAGGCGTGCCGCGAGATCCCTATACACATACAAAAAAGCCTCTAAACCATAGCACATATCCCAGAGTTTCGTCACTGTGTCCCCGTCCTCCTCCCCCTCTCCTCCTCCTCCTCCACCTCCTCCTCGCCCACTCCTCCTCTTCCCCCCCCGCCTCATCCTCTTCCTCTCCGATTCTTCTCCCCCCATCCTCCGCCTCGCCCCCCATCCCTCTCCCCCCCTCCCCCTCTGCCCCCCCCCGCACGCGCGCCCCCGATTGGGCATCATTTGCAGGTCTTGCATATCAGGGCGCATTTTTTTTGCATCGCGTGCGACGTTGGCAGGGCTCCCGGAGAACGCCGACTTCGGTAGTCTTCTCTTGCACGCGCCGCCGCACTGATACGCCTGGCAACTGCGGGCTGTGAACACGAGGTTCTTGCAGCCTCCGCACACCACTTTCGCTCCTTTCGCCGCTCGATGATCTCCCACTTGCTTGCGCTTCAAATGTTTCGTGTCCGAGAACGCTTCTCCGAACGCCGCACACGTCAGTGGCTTCGCGTCCACCTCGGCCTTCCGCTTGCGATTCGCTGCCTCCGCATTCCCCCGTCGCACCTCTTTCTCTCGTTCTTCCGCGCATTTCCGACAGAGCCTTTCCCCCGCAGCATTGTGCTTCTTTTGAGCTTCCGACACATCCGCCCTTTCGTCATATAGCGACAGGCACTTACCGTTCGCACATCGCACTGTTCCGACGCTATGATTCCACTTCGCGCTGTCTTTCCGCGAGTTCTGCTTGGCTTTGACACCGCTGCACTTCGCGCAGCACATTGTCCTAATCCTTTTCGTTTCCCCGTCGTCGGCCGCCGCATCCACGTTCCGACCGCTACCGTGGCGCGCCGCGTCGTCACTCTCTCCTCTCGTCGCCCACCCTCTGCGCGTCTTGCGCCATATCTGGCCCGCGCTTTTCATCTCCTCCGCGCACTCTTTGCAGAACGCCGGCCTTTCCTTTCTCTGGAACTCGTACTTCGTGAACGCCTCTACCAGCAACCTCCGCCGGCAGCGCTCGCATTGGTCTCGTGGCATTAGTTCCTCTTCCCACTCATCCCGCCCCACTCTCTCCCCGCGAAGCACCTACAACAACTTCTTTGCGCCTGGCATCTCCCCCGCGTTGTACGGCTTCCTATCGAAAGGCCTGAAAATCGACGAGCCCCCCCGCCTCCGCACGCGTGCGATGGCAACGTAACTTGCCATCCAACTCACGCCGCGCCCTCTTTCAAGGTCTGCTATCACTGCAGCCATGGTCCGGCCCTGCGCAGAGTGCGCCGTCACTGCCAAAGCCGGGGTGATCATCAACTGCGTGCGCTTCACACTCAATACTGGATGCTTCCGATATCCGTCCAAGAACCACGTCCGCCCTTTCGATGGGAAGATCGGATACAGCCCCGGCTCCCACCCTGACAGGTGCCACTCTTTCGTATGGAAGTCCGACACAATCACTCTCGGCAGATGCATCAATACTTCCTCGTCGCCGTCTCGAACGACCTCATCCTCGTGCAACACCTCTCCATGGATCGTCGCCGTGCGCCCCCGCAGAAGCTGCTTCTTTGACCGACCCAAGTGATCTCCCAAAGCCACGGGCATCCCCTTCGCCAACGGCAGCCACCCGGGCAAGCTTGCGCATTCCTTCTCGTGGTACCCCAGCCAACGTATCTCGTCCTCTATCGTGTACGGCCGCCTCTGTTCTCCCCCATGGCAAGGGCGGTCCCTGGCTGCGACCCACAGCAACTGTTCTCCGCGCTCCTTCGCCCATTGCGCAGCTTTCTGCTTCCCGACGTGACAACGAATGTCTTGATTCGCATAAATGGCGACTGCTTCAAGGAATTTCTTCTCCCGAAACCGCGCATCTTCTGGCGACGTCGCAACGAGTTTTCTCTTCTCCCGCTCAGCTTTGCAAGCGTCACATTCGAGCTCGTTTTCTTTCGCGATTGCTTCTATGCTTTCGAGACAACGCGTGCTCCCGCACAACGGTGCACAGCCCACCCAAGACCCCGGAACATCCGTCGGTCTGCCATGCAAAAAATTGCGCGTGCGTTCCGACAACTCCCCTCGGCGGAACTCGTCCTGCACAGCGAGAAACCACTCGTCTTGATTCTCCACGCGTTTGCACTCTGTCAACTCTGTCATTCCCTGCACTGCGCCGTCGCCACCTGCACTCTGTCATTCCCTGCCACGCGCCGATGGCAACAAGAACTATACGGGCCCCAATCCAACGCTTCCACCCTTTGGGCATCACCAGAACGATGCCAAGATTGCATTAGCGTCCTTTCTTTTCCGATGGGCCCCCCGGGGCCTCGAAATGACCCCAAGCGGATTCCACATGGCCCCAAGAGAGGTCATAATGGACCCCTACACAACTCCCCAGCCCAATTCAAGCGAGCCGGCAAGACCGCCAGGATGAGGGGTCGGCGGATGTGGCGTAAGCCTATAGAATCATTGATATTCCTATGGTTTGGGCACTATTTTAGCGTTCTCGACTTTGCGGCCCAAACAGCTTCGCAAATAGCTCCAGCACAACCCAAGAAGCCCCCAAGAGGGCCCCGAAACGGCCCAACAGAACCCCAAGACGGCCCAAAGAGGCCCCCAAGACGATCTAAGAGGCCCCTATGACGGCCCAAGAGGACCCCAAGACGGCCCCAAGGCGGCCGCGAGAGGCCCCCAAGAGGGTACCCGAAGGAGCGAAACGGCGCAAAAGCGCCCCAAAACCGCCAATGACGCCCCCAAGAGGCCCCAAGAGGCCCCCAAGAGGCCCCCAAGGGGCCCCCAAAAAACCCCAAGAGGCCTCAAACATGTCTTCAAGAAGCCTCCCAAAGGCTCCAAAGAAGCCCCCCAAAGGCCACACAGCGACTGCCCCAAGACGGCCCGAGATGGCCCCAAGAAGGCCCCCAAAGCCCCCAAGACGGCCCAAGGGGGCCCCAAGAGCGCCCACAAGAGCGCCTCCAGAGGCCAAAATCATTGATTTTCCTATTTTTTCAAACAGATGTTACCGTTCTCGCCTTCTCCGCCTCTCAGAAGCCCATGCCGGCCCAAGCAGCCTCCAAAATGGCCCCAAGAAGGCCCAAGAAACACCCAAGGGGGCCCCGAAAATGCAACGTATCCAACGGATCGAATGGATCTAATGATTCAAAATTGCTACATGTTGTATTGTTTTACATTCTGATGTCTCCCCCTCGAACCCCCTTTGGAGTCGCGCCACTACGCCGTACCAAAGTGACGGCCCCAATTATGGTGCTCTCTCTCTCTCTCTCTCTCTTTCTCTCTCTCTCTCTCTCTCTCTCTCTCTCTCTCTCTCTCTCTCTCTCTCTCTCTCTCTCTCTCTCTCTATATATATATATATATATATATATATATAACTTCGGTGTTTTGGGTCTCTTTGGGACTCCAAGAAGGTCTCCATATGGCCCGGGGTGGCTCCAAGACGGTCAACAACGCACTCAAGACGGCCCAAGATGGCCCAAAAAAGCCCAGAAGGCTCCCCAAGACGGCCCACGAGGGCACCGAGAGCACCCCCAAGAACGCACCCAGAGACCAAAATCAATGATTTTCCAAAAGTGTTAAGGATTTGGGCGTTCTCGCCTTTTTCGATTGTCAGAAGCCCAAAACGGCCAAAACAGTTTCCAACATTTCCCTCAAACCGCCCCAGAAGCGCCCACGGGAGCCCAAAGACGGCTCCAGAGGGCCCCAAGACGGCCCAATGAACCCACCAAAACAACCCAAGAAGCCCCAAGACGGCCAAAGAGGACCCCAAGAGAGCCCCAAGGCGGCCGTGAGAGCCACCCAAGACGGCCTCCGATGGGGCGAAACGGGGAAAAGCGCACCATCACGGCACAAGACACCCCCAAGAGGCTCCAGGAGGCACCCAAGAAGCCCCCAAGAAGCCCCCAGAAAGTCCCCAAGAGGCCTCCAAGAGTCTCCCAAGAGGCTCCCAAAAGGCCCCACAACGACTGCACTGAGCGGCCCGCTGACGGTCTGGACCAGGTGCAGCACGTGGCTCATCGCACGAACTCCACTGGGCGCAGCGCGCCTCCAAGTGCAGGCCACGACTTGACTGCACGTGCTCCGGACGTGCACCCCGCGAAGCGAGAGGAATCCACGTCCGGAGGTGACGTGCTGAGCGGCACCGTTTTTCGGCGAACGCCTTAATGCAACGTGTCCTATGTATCCAATGATTGCATAATTGCCGCATATTATGTTGCGTTACATTACTATGTCTCCCCCCTAACCCCCCCTGGGAGCTGCGCCACAGGAGCGGACCAAAGTGACCCCCCCCCCTCCCGGGGCTCAACAACCTATCAAAACCTATAGAAAATCAATGGTTTCGACCTCTTGGGCCTCTTGGGGGGCCAAGAGGGCGCCAAGACGGCTCAAGACGGGCTCTGTGCGTGCCAAGACGGCCCCGAAACGGTCCAAGACGGCCCCAAGAGGGCCCAAAAAACTACAAGGACGGCCCAAGAGGGCCCCAAGAGCGCCCACAACTGCGCCTCCAGAGGCCGAAATCCTTGATTTCCCCTTGGTTTGGTAATATTTTAGCGTTCTCGCCTTTGCGGCCCAAGCAGTTTCCCAAATCGCTCCAGAAC